GACATAAGACTAACGGGGGACCCGTACCTTCTTAAGTTGTCGTCGGTCCTACGCCCGTTAACATGATCTACTCGTGGACAACTATACTTTTCAAAACTGATAAGAACATACATCATAAGAACATATACAATATTTATAAAAATATTTTCACTACAAAATTGATACAACTTCCAGTTTGTATGCCTAAATTCATGTGCATGCTAAAATGATAAATTTTATAAATTTTAAATGTGTTACAACTTGGTTGTCCACTTGTTGATTACCGATACCGGTCTAAGGAGTACCCTCCAAAGTTAGGTTTAGTTGGACACCATTCTAGTTGAGTGGCGGGCCCTATACATCCCTATACATCGGGGTGACCGATAGTAGCCTTTGACGTCCATCGAGTACAAATATATTATATTTGAGCCTAGCCCCAACCTGAGTGCTTGCGGTCCCCTCTTTTCGGAATTTTCGTATGTTTTATTGGAATTTTTTGGCAAAGCACTCGTGATCCCTTTTCCGGGATCTTCCCGAGATTTTGATAATTTTCTTGAAATTGTCATTTGTCGATTTTCCCGAGTTTTATGTCGTGAGTCATTTGTCAATTTTTGCCGAGTTTTTCGCCGTGGGTCATTTGTCGATTTTCTCGACGAGAGGCAGGCTCCATTGCTAGTCCGCTAGGATGGTCAATAAAAACTCATAAAGCTAGATCCTAGGTTCTAAGAGTAGGAGATTAAGACCTCACTAAAAATGAGGTCAACAAATGTACTGTTCTTTCTCTTCTATGCCGCACATTTTACTGTTCTTTTCTTGTATAATGTATGTTTTATTGTTCTATTACACACCATACCTTAGTGTAGGAAAAACTCAATAATAAATATCGAATCCGGAGGTGCTACGACGGGGAGCTCGGAGCGAACATCATGGGCAGCACAACAAGGACACGCAGAGGAGCAACTTCGAGATGGATTTGCAACATCAAAACAAGTTCACGTCAACTAATCATTTTCTTTAGTTTAAATAACAAGTCATAAGACTTCGACGTGATTTGTTTAGCGCAACGTAAATCCTCACCTTATCTTTAGGATTTTGCATAACTCTGTTGTGCAATTATAAGTCCTAACACTTTTAGGATTCCGAAGTTACCGTACGGTACAGTGTAAATCCTCTATATCTTTTTAGGTCATTTACACGATCTGATATCGAGTCTTCAAGAATTCAAGATTCAGGTTTTCAAGGTAGGAAGTGGAAGGGCAAATGAGAGTAGCTCAAATATGAACAATTATTCCAGGAGTCCAAAGGAAAAAAAATAAATTGTAGGATTAAACATTGAATAACATTATTTCATATACATAAATAGTTGGGAACTCACTATAGTTTTCTCTGGAATTGTGATATTTCCTACTGTTCATTATTTTGGATTCCTTAAAATAACTGTTCCTGTTTGAGCCACTCCTATTCAATTTTTTCGTGTCCAATCTTGGAAACTTAAACTTTGAAATCTAGAAAGTAAAACCACTGATCTTAATCGAAAGTCTTCTTAAGTGGCCCCAGTCATTTAAGATGTAATTAATTATAGGGGCTTGCGTCTATAAGGAACATGGAACTCAGGTAAAATAAACCTTATCTAATCCTTATATTAGGTAAGGGAACTTGAAGGCCATACATAAAAGGTTTTGCAAACCAAACAGATGTCACAAACTTCTTAGTTTAGGTGGTTGAGCCTACTGTTAAGTGGTTTGCTTATCCTTCGGGATAGTGTATTACTTGTGGTATCGCGCTCAATCGTTCAAACTATTTAATATGTGAGGCTTGTTTGGTCTCATCTATTTTTAAATTAAAATGTTTCTTTCAAAAATCATATTTATATTAAAATTATTTTCATATTTTACAAAAATCTTTTCATTTCTTTCCAAAAAAAAAAAAGCGGCCGATAGCAGGC